GAAATGTCAGCCTTCCTGCTCCTCTGATGCTGCTTGGCCTGCTGTGTTCATCCAGCTCTACACCTTGTTATCTCAGATTCTCCGGCATCTGCAGTTCTACTATCTCTGAAACAACAGTATAGGTTCTTTTGTGTGTGTGACATGAATCATAAGCCAGGTTTAATTAGGGTGCAGTTCCATTTAGGTGAATTCTACTTTCACCCAGCAATAATGACAACATTAAAAGAAAGTTTAAGTATTTGGTTAAAGTGAAGAATGATATGGACATCAAGCACTGGAGCTCCAACCACCAAACAGGAACAGGAACGTGGTTCCCCTGTATCTATGAAGAAATGTATTAAGCCATTTAAGTTTTGAAATATTTTATTCTCAAATTATACACTTTTATAGAACAAAAAAACTGATTCATGTATGGCAATGTATAAATAACCGCCTAATCTATTGTGCTCTTACAAAACAACCACCAGATCAATTTACTTACAATTTACAAAGAAATGCAAACTTAATCTTTCAATGTGTTGCATGAATTGGCATTATCACTTTCCATATATTGAAAACAACTTTGTTCGGTCAGTCATTTCCAAGAAATGCCATGTGGCAAACCCTTTGCACTGCTAATCCCACTTTTGTAGGAGTGCAATCACTTGCAAATTATCTTTGCAAACTAAAAGCACAATGGGAACCAGTTCAATATTCTTCAGGATGGATTGTGCATGCCTGTAATAATGTAGAGTGTAGTGTCCTATAGTTGAGCAACATTTGTTATAAAACTCTTCAGGTATGCTATTCAGAAGTGACAGGAAATGTCAGGTGTTGAATGAGAGATAACAAGGTGTAGAGCTAGATGAACACAGCAGGCCAAGCAGCATCAGAGGAGCAGGAAAGCTGACGTTTCGGGTTTAGATCCTTCTTCTGAAGAAGGGTGTAGACCCGAAATGTCAGCTTTCCTCCTCCTCTGATGCTGCTTGGCCTGCTGTGTTCATCCAGCTCTACATCTTGTTATGTCAGATTCTCCAGCATCGGCAGTTCCTTCTATCTCAGGTGTTGAATGGGTCTTTTTCACCTGGTGGTACAATACTTGGTAGGTTTGGTGTAGAGGGTGCAGAGAGATGCACTCAATGGGATCGCTGATTAGGAAACTGATACTATATTGTTGTAACACATCGTCCAATCATGTTCAAAAACAGAAGTTGCTGGAAAACCTCAGCAGGTCTGGTAGCATCTGTGAAGAGAAATCAGGGTTAATGTTTGGGTCTGGTGACCCTTCCTCAGAATCCTGAGGGTCACCAGACCCGAACATTAACTCTGATTTCTCTTCGCAGATGCTGCCAGACCTTCTGAAGCTCTTCCAGCAACTTCTGTTTCTGTTTCTGAGCATCCACAGTTCTTTCAGTTTTTATCCCATCATGTTCATTCTTTCAAATCAACCATCTTCCAGAAGTGCCATATTTAATCTAAAAACTTCCAATTTGATCAAACTACGTTGATATTAGAACTAAGAACAGTACAGCACAGGAACTACTGGGGGGGAGGGGTGCAGCTGCGGTTAGAAACTCCACTGGAACCCACTCCAATGATTTGTCTTAATTTTCATGGAAATGTTGAAGAAGTATTGAAACGGAGTAAGTTAGGTGTAGGCATCACGTCTTTGTGTGAAGCAGCGTATTAGTATCCTTCATCTCCTATGTGTGAATAATAATAGATTGAAAAGACACAGTATTAGTTACAGCAGTCAGGTGTTTTATGTTGATGAATATACTGCAAACATAGTCAAATAAATTGTTTAAAATACATAGGGTGGAACAGTTTCTACATTAAATATCCAACTTCAATTTAATGTGATCAGCGTGCTTTTTGACTCATGAAGTTGTTATTCTTGAACAGAGTGCCTTGTAATTCTTTATTCTTTTTATTAATTATTATGTAAGAATGACCCTATAAAGGCTTTTTTTAACATGGAGTCTTTAAATATTACAGTGTCATGCAGATGTGGAATTTGAGAACCATTTACTACACTTACACAGCAGCTAGAGCTTCACAACTCTGGAGATTCATGTTTGAGATTGAACCTCACTTACTATTTCCATGAAGCCTCACTCTCCCTTGCCCATCTTACCGAAAGAAAGGATGGAATTTTTCTTCCTTGCAGAATCTAAATGCATCTCATACAGGTACAGGGCAAGTGCAGGAAGCACTTTTCTGACTAAAGCAAATGGGCACAGCAATAACTTTGGTGTTTATGAAAAACTTAACGACATCAAATATTCTTATTCTCAAACTGTAATTTGAACTTTCTCATGTCAGAATGCAATAATGTAACAAACTTGAACTTTTGATCACTGCATTATTCAGTTATTATTTATTTAAAAATAAAATCTAACATATTGCGATCAATGCAGATGCCAGATACCCACAAAGTTCACATTGGAATGCCATATATCCAGTCAACAACAAGACGTCTCCTGAGAAATAGGGAGAATGTTTGAAACTACAAGCTTCTTTTTTTCTGTATTTTCTTTTCATTAACCCACTAGATTCACTTCTGCAAACTAGAGAATATATTTACTTCCAGTTGCACACATTAGTATCTTTAGAAAGGCTAGACAGGAAGGCCATGTAACAGTGTCTAACTTACCCTCTTTTCAGCTCGGGTATACTAGTTTATGTGTTCACACGCTTCACCTCCTAGCACACATCCTGCATTTATTTACCCTCTTTGACATTAAACATATTTAAATTGAGTGGCAACATACTGGCCTTGTAAGCCAGGTTTGCCAAACCCTTCATGATAGTTTAGAATCAGACCTCTGAACTGAAAATAAATTCACACATTTATGTAATTTTTGCCCGTTTGTCTTGCTCTCTTAAGATGCCAGTGTCAATGATCCATATGATCTGCATGTTGAATTGTCTGTCAAGTATGACATACATACATACATAGTTAAGAGACAATCCATTTGTTGGAAAGGATGCTGGAAAGTGATACTGCCAAAAAAACTCAACTGGAAAATTAATTAAAAGATTAGCAAAGCATTACATTATCATTCATTCCACTTACATTCTTAAGTAACTGGAAGATAAAGGAGTAATCCTGTTTGTTAATCTATACCGGCCATACAATGCAACCCTCTTAAGAGCCATTCTGTTATGATCAAGCACTGCTTAATGAGGCACAAGATTGTTCCTTTGCTGTAACACAACCATCAAATCATATCTAAAATCAAGGTTTGGATTTTAATTTTTCATTTCCATGTACAAGGTTAATTTCTGCCCTCCTCAGTATGCAGAAGCTGTGAAGTCTTCTGTATCTGCTCTCTTGCAAAACCTACTGAATACCAGAGGTGCCTCTAGTATGTACGTTTTCATTACTTTTAATTAATACTTATAAAACCTTTATCAACACCTACTGCAAGAAAATCAGTACTATGTGAACTTTTATCTAGATAAATGTCTTAAGATCTGCTCATTGCATTTAATCCTCTGATAAACCAGAATTGGCTTCATGAGGAATACATCACACGATATTGTAAATCTCTCGGCAAGAATTGATTTGTCCAAAAAAAATTGGCATAACTTTCTTTGAAACAAAAACCAGAATTAACATGGATTTCTTACTTTACAAATCTGTTGAACTGAACTCCAGTGGTTGAACTGACTGACCACAGGCCTATTGAGAAGAGAGATATTATGCATATTGCACTCTTGGTGATTGAATGTTGATAAGTCTCATCTTGGCTCACAAAATGTGTACGTGTCACCGTTAACATTACAAATAAGGTGACATTCAATTGCTTGGCAACATTTATATTACTTTTATAATATAATACATGATAGGGCACCTTTACATATCACATTTGTTACAGATTGTTTACAGTGACAGCGGATTACATTTGTGATGTATCTCATGCAAAAGATTATTGTATTACATCAAACTCTTACACAACACTAGTATGATGGACTTGGGCCGTACTTTGTGCTAAAGAGTAGTAAGTTTTAAAAAAGAACACAGGTATTTACTGTCCAGTATGGATAAGAAGTCATTCTTTTCAATTACAGAGAAGTTAGTTATAAAAATGCACACAAACTCACACAGATTTGTTTTTATAGGTTCCACCATTTCCGAAAATAAAACACAGCACCTTTTGAAGATTTGGTATCATTGCAGCAATAGGCCTTTAGAGTTTTTACTATTGCAAGATTATATCCTGGATGTAAGGAGTTATGATTAATACGTCGTTCTGTACCACTGATTTTTAATACATGAAATTGCATTATCATTTTAGGAAAATATGATGAAAGTTATTGGCTTAAAGTTGTTTTAGTGCTCAAAGAATAAATATCTCACATTTTCTAATGTCTATTTACTTGGGGGTGACGTGTCTGAGAGTTACATCCCTTCCCCCAGTCCAAAGTTAGTTCCCATTTGGGATGCTGTTGCTTATGATAGTAATTATTACATAGATAATAGTGATTGTAAAATGCTCATAAAGCCTTTACATTACGCAGAGTAATTCCAGATCATTGGCGCTAACCTTTGAGATACATGTACTGATTCCTTTTGCAGATATTTGTTCATTTATATATGTAAATGAACAACCAGCCTCAGTTAGCTCGTAGTTTCAATAAAGAGATTTTTTAGCTAAGACACTCCCATGATTTGTAAAATGCTATTCCCACAGGCATGCAGCTCCAATTGTGCCATATGTCCACTTACAATGCCACTGAGTTCAATAAAGATAAGTGTTTCCATTGGCTGCTGCAGTGAAAGAAGAATTTGATATCTTACATTATTGGTACATTGGTAGCTATTAAGCATCCTGTAAAACTAAATGTGTTCGCAAGTTATCAGCTATTGGAAGGTTCACTCTGAAAACAACCAATTATAACAACTCAGCATCCAAAATTCTTCTACCAAGTAAAAAGCTGGCAAAGTTTTGTATCAGAAGAAGGGACTTAGAGGAGTCTTGGCAAAGAGTATGTCAAATATCTTTTGTCAATACACTTAATACTAGTTATAATCATTGACAAGTTGCTGAAAAGGCAATGAGTAAAAGAATTTCCATCTTCTTGTTTCATAAAACAGTTGATATTATTTGGTATAAATTGACTTAAACCATAGGTGAAATCAGAAGTCTCTTTTTAAATCCTGGTGATAATGAACTTCAAACAACTAACCTGATTCAAAGAAAATGGTTGGAAATTTGAACATAAATCAGAGGTACTTATAATATGCAACGTTAAATGACTTAAATAGTTTAATAGTAAAACATAAGTCAATACTGTCCTTTCTGCTATAATGCGATAATTGCGTGCTTGTGCAAACTCGCGCTATAGTAAACCACGCAATAAAAATAACAGGGCTTATGGAAAATGTAGGGTTGGGGCAGATTACTAAAATTATTACTCAAAATCAAAACAAATATAGTAGTTAGCCTAATATAAAGGATAGCACACTTTAAATAAATGTTAAATTCACATCCATTAATGAAATAATACAGTAAATTTAACATTTCACCTTGAAAAAAATTTGAAGATAACTTGATGGGGACGGGATGGAATCACATAATAGCCAACACACGTATGCAAATGGTTGCGTTTTACAATCAGTGTTCACCTATTCACCAATTGCATTACAGTCAATTCGCGTTAACAAAACATACATAATTTCAGAAAGGGCTGCATTTAAAAATAATTTGGCTTGCATGATGGTCAAATCTATAAATAAATGAATAATTCTGTACAGGCACTTCTGCTCTTGTTTGTATCAAGATACCAAAGTTATTTTCCAATCAACTAAAATGGCCAAGTTGTGAGCCAAGTCAAAAAATGAAAAGTATTTTCCAAGTTGAAATCTTTCAAGCTATCATCATTTTATGACACTTTCCAGTCTTTAAGTGGATTAGAAACGAATTGCAATTTGGGTCTGTTAATTTTAGTCTTATTTGATTTCATCTGTCAGAACAGTAACTCTCCCATTTATCTATCAATTTAAAATGCAACTAACAATCTCAATTTTGCTTATTTGATTGACTTCAATAGAAGTGACTCATAATCTAACAAACTGTCACATCTGATTAGTCGGACACTCACACTTCTTCCACTTTTCTGCCTGGGGCTTACATTCTCATTCCACGTTGCTCCATTTTATTGTGTTGTAGATTTTCTCCCTTCTTGCTTCATTATTTTGCATAATCTAACTGCAACTCTATCTGTGTATCATCCAGCACTTTGAAGTTTTGAACAATATTCTGTTGTGATTAATAATGTGTTTGCAACAGAACATATGTAGCAAATATCAGACATTCCCAATAGATATCTTACATTCGAAAAGACTGATCAAGTATGTCTGAATATTGTGCAATGCAAATGCTCGGCCGGCATTATAAACAACAGATAAAAGAAATGAAAGTTGCACTTGGATAAAAGGTGAATGTCTTCAAAGAAGGGAACCACTTACCTGAATAAAAGCTTTAAATTGGTAGAACCTCTTTTTACTAAGTCATAAAAAGGCAAAAATCATAAATCCTATTTGTATCACATTGGTTGTAAAAGAAGTCAACCAGTTTGTCCTCTATATCCTTTTTTATGGCCATAAAAACTAACTCTTAGAAGCAAACATCTTTATAGCAAACAATATTAACATTGTTACTTAAGTGATCTAAACTAACTCTTAAATGAAAACCAAAAGTAGCAAGGGGATTAGAGACCCCAGATTATCTCAAAAGGGTTAATCATAGTTTCTTCCTGTGGAGTTGGATTCTATCCATCCTGGTACATACATAAAGAGTTTCCAAGTTTGACTAATGTTGAGTACATGGACTATACGTACAATAATTGAGCGGGAAAATGCATAAAATATTTTGCAGTAAAAGCTACTGAACATGTCATGGTTGTAGACAAAGTGGCAAAACATGACATGCTCAACAGCCTACCTATTGTTTTACCTTTCTTTTGAATATTTCATTACAATGGCCCCATGTGGGAGACTAATACCAAAGATGACACAACAAAACATAAATGTGAGATCTTTGAGCATCAGCTGAATCTCGTGTTCTCTGATTCTATTAAGGTGAAAACACATCTAATCTAATAAAAATGAACATCTAATCTTCAACTGCCTTTTACAAACAAGTCACAAAGATATTGCCAACCATTCTCATACATTTTACCTGAGGACAAAATGTGTTCACATTCTTGGACAATTGCTGCTTATTGCACAGCTCTGTAAAGTTAACGTCTGTCGATACTGATTCTAATCTATCATTTAGACTAAAAGGCACAGCTGATTAGTCCATTAAGTAAACACTGTCCTGTATTACTGCATTATTTATATTTCGATTAAGCCTCCTGTCCTTTCAATGCATGTCTGTATACAGAGACCTGCTGCTATTTAAACAAGGTCACATTATTTGAGACATTTTATGAGATTTGATAGGCTGTGCTAAAAATCTCTGAGCAAGTCATCCGAAGTTGTTGACAACTATTTGAGAACCAGCATGTACAGAAATTGAACAAAATTGTAACTTGCTTCAGTTAGCAACATATCTTTTCATAAAAGGTGTTTAAAAAAAACCCAGCATCAGCTCTAACCTTCAACTCTGTGTAATGTTTGGTACAACAGACGGCAAAGCAATGATTCAAGTGCAAAAAAAAACATGCACTACTGTTCTTCAAAAGGCTGCTGTGTGACATTTTGACTTTTGCTTAAAGCGGCTCCAATAAAACAAACATGAAGAAGCAGATTAACATTGAGTTCTTTGAACATATTGCATTTAGAAACATATTTTTTTAAAAAAAATTAACTTCTCGGTGGTTACCTTTCTTTAACACAGCAACACTGCATTAAAAAGAAAAAAAGCCCTAAGTTACTTTTGGATTACGATACGTTAATATTTCTATGAATGGAGTTGCTGTGTACAGAAAAAAAACTTCAAAACAGCACGAGCGAGTACAGAACATAGCACAAACAACAAATTGACAGAACAATTAATGCTGATATTTGGCATACACCCTCACCAATTCGGGCAGTGAATTCTGCTTAATGTGGAAAGGACACGAGAATTGGAAATGTTGGGTAGACTACTACTGTTAGTCAACCATTGAGCACAGGATCTCCTTAGAGGAGGGCTGACCGTCACTGCAAACATGTCATTTCCCTCTTAGGTATGTGTTGTATACACCTTCCTGTTTTGACCTGAATCTCATTTTTATTCAGGACAGGAAAACACAAAAGGTACCGATAAAAGTCAGTTAGTTGGCTCGATTGGTGAGATCTGAAGAAGCATGAGATCTATCAGTGCCTATTCTCTTTCTCTATATATGCAAAGAACTACAATGAATGTTAGGAGCATTGATGATGCTGTGCCAGGAATAGTGTTAGTATTTCAGCCTCTTATACCTGTGCTTCCTCTCTTTCCCACCCCAATTCACTATAGGCCAAATAGAAGCAGGCAATGAGCTGCATTTAATAAGACTCAGGGGGAAATAGATCTTTTCTGATATTGAATCGTGGAAATATAAAATGAATACGTTATCTAGAGCAGCCAATGATGGGGGAAGTGCACGTTTGCTATCAACTGCACTTTCATCTAAAAGAAGTGCCAATAGAAACTGCAAAGTCAATACTCTTTGCACAAGACTATTATGCACATAATTGGCAGCAGTGATAAACTAGAAAAAGAAAATTAATGACAGGAGGCTTAGCACTGGGCAACAATTGCAATTTAGAGCATGGACATAGAAAACAATAGTGTAAACCCACCACAAAAAAGAGCACTTCTTTTTGCCATAATGCACAACGCATACACCAAATAACACACGTACAAGTTGCCATTTTTAAATATTTCCATTCCTGAAGGTGAAAAGTTTTTGGAACAAAACCATTTTATTCATAAAAGTAAAGAAAGTAGCGGAGAATTGCCTATGGATTTGCTAGCATTGTATGTCACGATTTTGGAACTGACTCATAAAATAATTACACTGGCTTTGCAATGAACCATAGAAACTACATCATCCACTCATTTTAGCCTGTGTCTACACATGAATGCTACAAAATATCAATTTTGCCAAGTGCCAAATACTGCCACAATCTTAAACAGTGCAAATCATGAACATAAAATTAGAATCACTAAATATTGTTTGAATATACCTGAGCAGAACTTGAAGACAGTTACTTTATTTGCCAGAAGTAATGCAGCCACAAGCTGAGGAACTTTGTAAGAATATTAGCCTGGAGATTGTTTCAAAGTTAATTTGTTTTATGAATCATATACGTGAAAAAGTTACGATCCAGACTATCTCACCATCCAGCCGATGCCCTTGACTTGACCTACTGGTCTGTATGTTGAGGTTATTCCTTTCCCCTCCCCCTCCCTCAGTCCAAAGAGAAGTCCTGGCATTTATGTTCAGGATATCTGCTCATGGAGACTTTAATGCTCACTAACAATAGTAGTCCATGACCACATGTAGGAACACTGATCAGGTGTAGCTTGACATTTTAGTTCACTGTAGTTCCCAAACATCGCTTAATCCTTCAATTAACCTCCAGAACAAAATATTAAATACTTCCATGTGGTCTTGCCTGACTGGAGTTAAGAATGTGCATACTTTTATGTAGATTTTTATAAAAGCTACTGTCATTTGCCACCAGAGTTCTCAAGGTGGGCAATGATGAGTTGAATTGACTTGGCAGGAAGCACTGATACCTTGGAGTGCATGCTTGAGCTGAAGATAAAATTAAGCTGTGCCATTGGTGAACTTTGAGAGCTTGTTCTCTAACTCAGTAATGCGTCTCTCCTGGGACTGGACTATCACCTTCAGTGATTTAATTTCATCCATTAGTTCTTCCATGGTTATACGCTGAGGGCAAGAAAGAGAAGAAAATCAATAACAAACTAAAGAAAGAGGAGAAGGAATCTGCTTCAAACCTTCTCTATTATTCAATAAGATTATGGATGTTTCTCATCCCTCCCCTATAACCTTTGATTCCCCTACCTAACAAGAATCCACCTACCTCTGCCTTAAAAGTATTCAATGATCCCACCTCAACCACACTATGATGCAGAGAGTTCCAAATTCACACAACTCAGAGAGAAAAAGAATCCCTTCATTTTGATCCTAAAAGGGTGACCCCTAACTTTAACATAATGTCCCCTAGTTCGAGATTCACCAAGAAGAGGAAACATCTTTTCTATGTCCACCTTATCAAGGTCATTCAGGATCTTATAAACTTAAATAAAATTACCCCTCGTTCTTCCAAACTCTCATGAAAACAGCCCCAGTCCATCCCTCATAAGACAACCCATTTATTCCAGGAATAATTTAAAGTGCAAACTGCTTACATAAGGGACAATGGACACACAGAGTGAATGTCAACCTTGCTGTATAGCCAACATTATATAATCATGACAGAGGTGGACAATTGTAATTGATTTATTTGATATAGTGGATACTTTGACTTTGAATTAACTTACCCGAATAATTCCATCAATGTCAGAATTGCTCTTTCTACCTCTTTCCAGAATCTATATTACCCTTCCAAGCTCATTCAGACCTTACAGCTATTGCTAGATCAACAGGATTTGATTTAATGTACAAATGGTAAAACAACATTTATTCTAAAAATCAGAGGGAGTGACTGATTGCGAGTTTATTTGTCTTAGCACAGTGCTAACGATTCCACTTTATATTCCAGAGCAGGCCTGACATGCACAATATCTATTCATAGATCAGCCTATCCCAGGAGTTTACACAAAGAATTTCCTTGGGACCTGAATACTGTAACTTTCACAAGTATTGAGATAAGTGCTTCTCTAAACTCTCTGAAGATAGAAGTAATCATAATGAGGCAATGGCAGTCTGAAACTCACCTCTTTTTAAAAACACATAGTCAAAACAAACTCTACTTGCATTGCTCAAAATCACTTCTTTGTTTGGAAAATGTGAAAATAAATAAACGATGTACCCCATTCCTGTTGGAGGTAACTTCGTGTTTTTTTTCACGTGCTTGCTTTCTACACAATCTCTTACTGCAAAAGTTTGACTTGCTGCATTTTGGCTCCACCTTCAAACCTGCAGCTTGACCTTTCTTGTTTAATAAGCTGATGAAATATTCTCCTGTCCAGTTGATTTTCATTCATTCTGTTTTCCTATTCAATGTTTCTCCCCCCTCCACCACCCAACTAAATCCTGCTCACAGTGGTTCTGACAATGATCTAGACACCTTTCCTCCCTCTTGAGATTCAAGTTTAAAGGCCCCATCTATTGCTATTTGCAAAGTGAATGCAGCAACCCTGACCAGAACAGGTTTGGGCTGAGATAACTTACACTGTTTGTATCCATTTGAAATGGACTGTAGGCCTACAGCATTTCACAACCTAACTTGTTTAATACGGTAAGTCCTTACTTAAAATTGTGACTGTCTTCCAGGTGTGTACACACACCAACACTGCTTATCTCTATCCCTGGAGTCCCCTTGACGGACCCAATAGAACAAACATGGCCCACCCCCTTTCCCAGACATGCACAGATCCCTGAGTAGTGGGTGCACATGTCCATGACTCGGAGGTCTACCCCCAAATCTGGACTGGGCCTTGCCAAGATAAAGGAGTGAAGCGTGAACTCTCCGTGAAGCACAGAGGTACACAGCCCATGTGTAAAACCACCCCAACCAGATGCCTGAGCTGCCCCTGACTAACAGTGATGGTGCCCCTGACTGACTGGTGTCCCCATGTTCTTCACGGCAGACTACTCCACTAAGACATGGCTGACCGCTTGCTGCAAATGCAGTGTGTTTGACATGAATGCTGTTACCTCATTGGTACAAGTGCCACACTGATGTGGTACACTGCCGTATGGCAATGTGTTATGCCCCCTTGTCTGAGGACTTCCGAGGGCCATGGCCATCTGCCAGGTTGTGTGACTGTGCCAATTGTCACAGCAAGATATGCATGCTGCAGGTAGGCATCAGGTGAATGGACACTGACAGCAAGAAAGCAAAGGGCTGGGTCCCAGTGCCTGTGTGGTACCCAACGCAGCTGGGCACTGCTGGTTTCTGGTGTGCCCTGCTATGTACGTCTGCGCTTCCAGGGCCCATTGCCAGTGCATCGGAGGTGTGCCAGGAGGATGGCACAGGTTCACTGAATGTTAGATACCAATGTCCATGGGGAAAAGTTATGTGCGGCTGGTGTACGTGGATCCCGCCCTAGGCTGCTGTTTGGTTGTAGGCAACATGGAGACCACTGGGAGGAAGTGGAGAGCTGAAGCCCCCCCTCGGTGCCCGGTCTGGTTTCCATGTCAGGTTTATCTGGTTTATTGAGTGAGCTTAACAAGGATTAATCGCAGCTCAGTACTACCTGATTAGAATCTCACCCAGGGTGCTTGGGAAAAGTGCCTTAGCACATGTCACTCAGATTGCTAGGACATTTCACCCAATATAGCCTCTCAATTGAAATTTCTACATTGCTAAATTCCTACATTGGTAAAATGAGTTTAAAAATATGAAAGAAAAATATTATTTGCTGCTTACAGCACTTCTTTCTCACTGGCGATTGTGTTTCCTGATCTCCTGGTCATTCCCAACCCTTCTGACTTCCCAATCCTCTACCACCTCCAACCCGATTTCTGGCCTTTCTTCATTCCCCTGACTCCCCATTTACAGCCTCACCTCAGTCCCCCAATCTTCAGTTGTGGTCTAACCCCATCCACTGACTCACTCATTACTGTGCCTTCTCCAGGGCTGCTTTCCCAATCAATCAGTGGCTAGAACTCCAATGTTGTGAAAATGCGGTACATCAGAAATGCTAAAGTATTACAATCCGTATTTTAGTTTGAAAGTTCCCCACTTGTGCATCTCTCTCTCCTGAGAGAACATCAAAGGGGCAGAAGCCTCTTTGAAAGTCATTTTAAAACAAAAGTGATTGTCACTTGATAACCGTGAGGGCCTGCACTTCCACAACAGAGGTGTGGCTGGATTCAATCTGGATCGTGAATGGGAATGCAAGATCGGGGAGGGAAAAGAGCCCACAACTGGGCAGTAGGTCAAGGTAGGCAGTGGTGGAGGCACCAACTGAGTTGCGCCAGAAATGACCTTAAAATGAATCGTGCAATGCTAAATGAGACTACAAACCCCTTCAGTATTAATGTGGAACAATGTTAAACGGGGAAACTGTAAACACGGACTTAATTTACACAACTTCAGCAGTAGCCTGTGACAAGGGGAGGGGAGCAGGGTCATAATGGACAGACGTATATCCAAAAATATAGCTGAAAATCCCATGATGCTTTAGGAACACATACAGAGAAATTTGGTTCGCATGTGGAGTAGCTTCGTCGAGGTCCAAGAGGTGGCTTGTTATCCAGAATGTTCTTCTTGGCAAATTTCAGTTCTCTGTTTTTCGGTGGAATGTACCCATCTCTCAACGAGATGAGAATGGGATCAGCATTCTTGCCAGCCATCCACTCCTCAGCTTCTAATGCTGGTTCAGGGCCTTGTGTATCCGGGTACAAGTCATCTTGGAAAAGATCTGACTATAAAATTCACAGGAATAAAGAAAACTTTGTTTTAGTTGGACAGACCATGAGCCATTCATATCTGAGATGTAAATTGGAGACGGATAGTAAAATGCTCCTCATTCAACTTCTACAGTTTGAAATCTTTAGTTATCTGGATCAAACAATTTACTGACTGAGCTGTTAGTTATTGTCAGAGAAGAGAACTCGCTATTTTGGAGGCCTTCATTTTAATAAATAGATAGATAATCAGATTTCATAGTTGTGGATCAGTGCAATCATCATGTCTATGTCCTAAATGGCCAATAATAAATGACTTTAAAGTAATGTTTTTATCCTTTCCTGCCCTTTTATGTCCTTCATTTTCAGAATAAATATTCTCAAGTAACTTTATCTTGTTATGATCCATGCATAATCCATACATCCAACAGTCTTTGGCTTCTTTCCACACACAAAAACATTGAAATTTTAAGGCTTGAAGGAGGTCATTTGGTCCATCATGCCTGTGCAATGGATCGCAGGATACACAATGTATCTGAGTAAGCACATTGAATTCTTGCTCAGAGCACAGGGTGATATACGTGGGGAAGCAATGGCCTAGTGGTATTATCGCTGCACTGTTAATCCAGAGACCCAAGGAATGTTGCGGGGACCCGGGTTTGAATCCTGCCATGGCAGATGGTGGACTTTGAATTCAATAAACGTCTGGAATTAAGAGTCTAATGATGACCATTGTTGATTGTTGGAAAAACCCATCTGGTTCACTAATGTCTTCCTTTAAGGAAGGAAACTGCCTACACAGGTTATGTGATTGACTTTTAAATGCCCTCGGGGCAGTCAGGGATGGGAAATAAATGCTGGCCTGGCCAACAACATCCATGTCCCATGAATGAATGGAAAAAAAAATCCACACTCCCTAAGTGCGACCTGTCGCACTGGGAGCACTAGGACCAGGAATCTGCAGCCTGTACACCTCAACTCCCAGTCCGAGTGCATTTGGATTAATGGGCAGGAACTAGTGGGCTGTACGTGCTCAAATTCCTAAGTTGCATAAGCTTCCATACAAGGTGCATGATTTCATAAAAGTATGATGCAGTTCTTTACATTTCTGCTCTGGAATTTACAGCTTAAAAGAAAGTCCCCATCTACCTTTGAGATCATGTTTTGCCTAACGAGGCACTGCAATGAGAATACTGCAGAGTTCGGTTCTATTAGCCAACTTAGAAAGCACAGCCCAGGGATCAGTCTTACACTTTGCAACTCAAGAGTGAGAGAGACAAACTGAACAGGACTTTTTAAAAACAATCATGGAAAGCTCTTTCCAGTGCTTCAAAGGTGAACAGTCCTCATCGAAAATAATTTGTTGGCACCAATTCACTCCCCTGCATCCAGACATTGATAGCTGCTTACATATAGGTAAGTATAAATGTAAAATAAAAACTGCTCTTTTAGGAAGTAGTTGTTCTGCCTTCTGCTCTTTTGCCTTTGTTAGAAATACTTTTTCCAGATTAACAGGGTCAAGTCTAATGAAGGGTCCCAAAGTCAAACTGCAACCTGTTCTTTCTGTGTTGAAAATGGATTGCTCTGCCATGTATTTGCAGAAGCTTCTATTTCAATTGATAAAAGAGGTCGTATGTGGGCAAGATGTCATCAATTTCAATCTTGTCAAAATATTGTTCAGCTTCCAGTGTATCACCCTCTGAGTCAAATCTGAGTTTATTCCTGAACATGAATCCACCTTTACAGAGTAATGGCTTCTGGGGATTGGTGAGCTCAGTTAGCTGGGCGGCTGGTTTGCAATGCAGAGTGATGCCAATAGCATGGCTTCAATTCCTGCACTGATGGGGGTTGTTATGAAGGACTTTCCTTCTCAAACTGTCCCCACACTGTCCTCTCCTTGCATGAGGTGTGGTGACGCACATATTAAACCACCACCAGTCGTCTCTCTCTGATGAGAGAGCAGCCTCTGATAAAACTATGGTGACTTTACCCTTACCTTTAATAATGACTGATATCAAAACAGTGAGGATTTTCTTTCAGTAAGCATGGATCTATCCTAGCTTCAAAATATCTAAAAAATTATTATCCTAAAAATCAAAAAGATGGTATTTTTCAAAAATTGGATGCATCTTTTTCATTTTTCACACTGTCACTGGTGATTACTTGCATAATGGGCTTTTCTACTGCACTGACCTTGCGAGGCACTGTCATTGTAATCGGTTCACATTTCCGTTCATGTAACTTGAAAAACCTAAAAATAAACAAGTTTAATAAATCAAATACCATTCGCAAACAAAGAAGCTGCAATACAAGATGGGTTTTGTAACAATTGCATTTTTTTTTCCATTACGAGGAGGTCATGAATAACTGGGAGAGGTAAAGTGAATCTGATTCAAGGAAAAGGTTCAGTTGAGTGCAGAAACTACAATGTTGAACTTGCAAGCTTTTATAACCTTATCCAAACTTCATGACTGTTCAAAATGTCTATAGTTTACCAAAATATCAAAGCCTACATTTTTCCCATCATGTCCACACGATTTTCAAATAGGCAGGGTTGGAAAGAGAGCTGTATTCTTATGCTGAAGGGATATTCCTGTGATTGGCACCAGAAACAGTGTGAAAATGCAGCTCAAACAAGCAGCTGCAAATGCTGATGCCCTGTCACAATTGCTTCTAACTTGTATACTTCTCATAGCAGTGCGTCAATGATAGATTTCTTAGGTTTGCCCAGAGGTGGCTTTCAGAAAGATTTGATATGTGTTGAGACAATGACCGATTCCGTGAGTCTTTCAGCTAAGTTAGCACTGGTGAAATCACATTCGATACCTTTGTGTTGCTGTGTGCCTATGAATCTCTCAATTGTTTTGTCTGGTTGTTGTCTATGGTACAGAAACTGAAGCCTGCCTATTCTGAAATTGACTTGATAACTTTAAGTTGATCTTCTTAAACCTAAACCAAAATGGTCAGGAATTTTGTGACTCTTGTCAGAAATGCCAGAGGATATTGCTCTTCATAACCTTTCACTGCCCAACATTTAAAAAAAGTTTGACTGACATCCTTTTTGAAGTCTGTACTTTTTTGTCGATTGTCTGCTTATCCTTAAAGTAATGATTGATTCTTACATTTGAATATTGATTTCTGTTTGAATGTCAAAGGTGTGCAAGTCCATAGTTAAGTGAGTGTTTTCCATCTTTTCACATTTTGAAATGCCAGAGTAAGCATTACACACAGAGAGTAGCTGAAGGCAAGTCTGGTGTACCTTTATACTGGAACATTACATCTCGTGATATCATGTAGCTGCCTTAAAGAGGGAGGTCTATCTAGTTTGGAATTTAAACCATAATAGAACAACTATAATAAGCATAATATTTTGTCATACACTGCACAGAAGTCCTTGTGCAGTGTAATTAATTGGTTCCTCGAAAACGTGACATTTTGCAAACCACAGAAATTATATAAAATATGGCTACATTCTTGAAGGAGGTTTTTGGAATATACTTTTCCATACAAATATTTAGATTAACATGACACTCAGAATTTCCCTACTTATAACAATTTCTTTTATTCATTTGTGGGGTTTGGGTGTCGCTGGCTAGTCAGCATTTATTGCCTGTCCCTAGTTGCCCTTGAGAAGGTGGTGAGTTGTCTTCTTGAACCAATGCAGTCCACTGCTGTGGGTTCACCCATAATGCCCTCAGGGAGGGAATTCCAGGATTTTGACCCAGCGACGCTGAAAGAATAGCAATATACTTCCAAGTCAGGATGGTGAGTGGCTGGGAGGGGAATGTGAAAGTGGTGTTGTCCCCATGTATCTGCTGCCTTTGTCCTTCTAGAGGTAAGTGGTCATGGGTTTGGAAGGTGCTGTCCGAGGACCTTTGGTATTTGGCAGGTCTTGTGGATAGTACACATTGTTGCAACTGAACGGCAGTGGTAGAGGGAGTGGATATTTGTGGATGTAGTGCCAAACAAGTGGGCTGTTTTGTACCGGATGGTGTCAAGCTTCTTGAGCATTGTTGGGGCTGCACCCATCCAGGCAGGTGGGGAGCATTCCATCACACTCCTGACTTGTGCCTTGCAGACGATGGACAGGCTTTGGGAAGTCAGGAGGTGAGTTAGTTACCGCAGTGTTCCTAGCCTCTGACCTGTTCTCAAAACCATTGTGTTTATGTGGTGAGTCCAGTTGAGTATCTGGTCAATGGTAACCCCAGGATGTTGATAGTGTAGGATACACTGATGGCAACACCATTGAATGTCAGGATTGTCTCTTATTAGTGATGGTCATAGCCTGGCATTGTATGAAACCAATGCTACAGCCTGGATATTGTCAAGATCTTGTTGCATTTGAACATGGACTGCTTCAGTATCTGAGGAGTTGCGAATGGTGCTGAACATCAGCAAACATTCCCACTTCTGACCTTATGATGGAGGGAAGGTCATTGATTAAACAGCTGAAGATGGTTGAGCCTCAGACACTAGCCTGAGGAACTCCTGCAGAGATGTCCTGGAACTGAAATGATTGACCTCCAACAACCACGACCATCTTCCTTTGTGCCAGGCATGATTCCAACCAGTGGCGAGTTTGCCCCCAATACCCATTGATTCCAGTTTTGCTAGGGCTCCTTGATGCCACAGTCAGTCGAATGCAGCCTTGATGTCAAGGTCACTCTCATCTCACCTCTGGATTTCAGGTCTTTTGTCCATGTTTGATCCAATTTTATGCATGTTAGCACTTTAGTTTATACCTTGCTGGTCAGCCACCACTAACATTAGAAGATTCTACATTGACCACAGTTTTCTTGAAGATCATCATATAAAGTTCTAGCCTCATCTTGAATAAGTATTTCCTAAGAGACACATCTGGTCAAATTTGGTTTCAATCCAATTGGTTAGCCGTCTTTCCACATCTATCATAAATCACCCTTATTTTACATAATTAAGCTGCAGACAAAGGAGTTGTTAACTTATCAAATTATTTCAGTTTATCAATGTTTTTAATAATTACTCACTGGCCAGTCAAGATGTCGAGCAATACCTGTTGCACATTGACCTGTTTTGGAATGTTTAATATTATCTAATTTCACTTGAAGTGTAACTTGTTTATGTTGCCTTTCCTCAGCAGAAAGCACTTCATAATCACTGGCTCTCTTTTAGCTCATTATGAGAGCGTTTTATAGGTTACAATTAATGAAAAATACCACAACAACTCAAGACAACATGAACAGTGATGCATGATATGTATTTTGCACGGATCATAAATAAGGACAATTCACACTCTCATTGTCCATAAAAAGTAGCGTGTTACACCACTTATTGGAGACCACTGAAGACAATGCAACCAGTCAGTTATAATCTGGTTAACTTGCCTCTAAGTCCATTATTAAAGCAAAAACTGACCACTCACCTTGCAATTTCACATCTACTGACATCCAGGCCTCTCTTTGTCATGAAGCCCATTCCTCTCTGTGGCTCCTTACTGCTGAATGTGCTGATGTAATGAACATATGGAGCTTCATCTGTGATTTCAAAATATCGAATACTGCTATCACCCTGTGCACAAAGAGAAATCAGTCTTCAAAAAGGAAGCTAGAAAACAAAATATCTTTCGTGCTTTTATTATAGCAAACTTCATCCAATAAGTACATTTCAGGATGAATATCCCAAGGCTTTGAGCCAAGATCTAGTGCAGAATGACAGCATGATAGAAAAAAAACATTGCTAATTTTTCCACTTGAGAGCGTGCAGATCTCAGACTGGAAGCAACAAGAACTGTTTTACTTCAGTTAAAACTTTAGTGGATGTTTTCCCTTGTTAACAGTGGAGTGTATCTATTACAACCACGCCATTACATTAATTATAGAGCACTTCATATCAATGTAAGAAAGTACAAAAAATGTTTGTTAAAATGAGAGGTGAGGAAGAAAATGAAAATAACATGTGGAATTGATTTGTAAGCAGGAATGTGGGATCACAAATCTGGAGACCAATTTAAAACATAGTTGGTTGCTGTGATGAAGAAACTAGCTTCTTCGAAATGGATGAGGCAAGATCAGTCTTCTTCATTTATATTTATGGAACCTCTTGCTATAGAATACAATGAATCAATTCTGATATATTAAACAATACATATGGTGAAAGGAACCATACAATTAAGATGATATTATTTGGACAACAAAAATAAATACACAACTACAGAATAATAACTTAACATGGTTTTAAAGACCCATCAGCATGCCCATCAGAATAATGGAGTGGGATTAAAAGGAGATAACTCCACTTAAGGTAGATTTACAAAACTTTAGTCAGAGATAGTAGGAACTGCAGATGCTGGAGAATCCGAGACAACAAGGTGCAGGGCTGGATGAACACAGCAGGCCAAGCAGCATCATAGGAGCAGAGAGGCTGACGTTTCGGGCCGAGACCCTTCATCAGAAAAGGGGGAGGGGAAGGGGGTTCTG